CATCAGAGGTCCCCCTATAAGTAAGTGTCCCCCATCACATCAGAGGTCCCCTTATATGTAAGTGTCCCCCATCCATCAGAGGTCCCCCTCTACGTAAGTGTCCCCATTTACATCAGAGGCCCCCCTATATGTAAGTGTCCCCCATCACATCAGAGGTCCCCCTCTACGTAAGTGTCCCCATCACATCAGAGGTCCCCCTCTACGCAAGTGTCCCCATCACATCAGAGGTCCCCCTCTACGCAAGTGTCCCCCATCACATCAGAGGTCCCCCTATAAGTAAGTGTCCCCCATCACATCAGAGGTCCCCTTATATGTAAGTGTCCCCCATCACATCAGAGGTCCCCCTCTACGTAAGTGTCCCCATTACATCAGAGGTCCCCCTATACGTAAGTGTCCCCCATCACATCAGAGGTCCCCCTATACGTAAGTGTCCCCCATCACATCAGAGGTTCCCCTCTACGTAAGTGTCCCCCATCACATCAGAGGCCTCCCTAAACATCATAGTATCCTCATCAGAGTCCACCTATCATGTGAACATGTGAAAGTAACAAGGTAACCTCTAATGTGATGGGAGGGACTCTGTGAACGGGGTACTGATTAGAAGGGGAGCCTCTGATTTGATGAGGCGTTTCCCATTGATTTCAATGGGAAGAGGCGTTTTGGGGGCATTTTGTTTAACTCCCCAAACATGCCCCAAAGATGCTGCAAGCAGGAGATTTTACACCACACCGCAAGCGCAACACCTCAGTGTGAAAACATACATAGATATACATTCACATACACAGGGAAGCAGATTTCTGGAGCTTTTCAGGCACTTTTTTAAACGAAAAAAGCTTGAAACACTCCTCAGTGTGAACGTAGCATAACTTCGTGTAGCATAGCTCTGTAAGCTCCAGCACCGTGGCTCTATCGCTGTAACTCTGCGTACCCGATGGCTCTATCGCTGTAACTCTGGGTACCCGATGGCTCTATCGCTGTAGCTCTGGGTACCCGATGGCTCTATCGCTGTAGCTCTGGGTACCCGATGGCTCTATCGCTGTACTCTGGGTACCCGATGGCTCTATCGCTGTAACTCTGCGTACCCGATGGCTCTATCACTGTAGCTCTGGGTACTGTAGCTCTGTGTGTATTCCATGGCTCTCTCGCTTCCCCCCGACACGTGACTCCCCTGTGATGACGTCCTCTGGCCGGCTGATCTCTGATCGCTCTCAGGTGGACCGCTGCATGGTTTTTGGGAAATCCTGCCTGACCCCGCCCCTCAGGATCTTATTGGTTTCCCTTTAATTAGAGCTTTGTGATTGGCTCTTCCCGTTCTGATCACGTGGTAGTAGGGGAGTCTATAGCGGTGGTCCGGTCAGTAGGAGTTCAGTGGGCGCAGGGCGCCGGTGGGAGAAGAGGGAGGGCTTACGTTGTTCAGATCTCTGGCTGTATCGTCAGGACTCCCCGATAGTCATCTGTGTCTCCCCCGGTGTTCCTTTCACTCCACTCATCACACCTCATCCTCCGACCGCTGAGAACCGACAACTCCGAACTTCTTCATTTAGGTGAGCGATGTCCCGTGTATGGGCTGTACCCGATCAGTGGGGTGGGGGTCAGATTTAATGGGTGCATGCTATAGACGGGGGGAGGGTCATGCATCCGATCTATTGCCTGAGACTATTCATTGGACAATCCTTGTATAGATCTATAGAACTTGTATCCTCCTGTACTGGGTGACATGATCTGTGTTGGTATGGAGGGTATAATAGTGCGTCTACAGAGGACCTTCACCCAATAGAAATACTTTTTTTACTTTTCTTTATATTGTGTGTGGGTTTTTTGTTTGTTTTTTCTAATAGTTTTATTAACTGGATCTCTTGTATTTAAAAAAAATTATTGTTTCATTTTATTGGCCCCACACTTCCTATTGAGAATGAGGTCTTAATGCCCCCTCCACTTTCCCATATCCACCCCACCCCATCCCAGGAAGCTTCTGGGTGATGTCAATGCATCCAGCGCTCTGCATGTGCAGTGGTGTATCATGGGGGGGGGGGGGGGTTGTGTGCAAGAACCCAAAAAATCCCCTCCTAGTATAGGAGAGGGGGCTGAGACCCAGTGTAGAGCAGCAGCTTTCACCTAGTAATGGGTATTGGACCTGCACTGGACAGCACACTGTTATTGCTGTGATTGCATGAAAGCTGAACCCCAGGAAGCTTTAAAGTCTTTCCTTATAGTTGGGCTGTGTATGTATAGGGGACCAGACAAAACTGTTCAGCTCACCTGATCTGTTCCTGCAGGCGTCTGTGTTAGAGCGGGCCATGTAGCCTCTTCCCTCCTGTGCTCTTGTGGTTTAAGGTTCTGACCTCATTAAGACCGATGAAGGGTCCATAGCCCTGCATTGGACATGAGGGTGCCAAGGGTCAATGCACCACCAGGGAAGCAGAGGATCAGGTGTAACACTGCTTTTAGGTCCTGTTCATACTACGTGCTTTTCAGTGTGGTTTTTTTTTTTTTTTTTTTTTTTTTTTTTTTTTGCGCGTCAAATGCACAGAAAGTAGGTTTATGGTCGTTAATGTTCTAGTTCACATCAGAGCTTACAGTTCCAGTGCGTTCTGGATGCAGAACTGTACTAGAACACTGTAAAGCTCACAGGAATGCACCAAAAATGCACTGGGACAGACATGTCCCTATTTAAATTGATGAAAAAAGGGGGGGGGGAAATTAACTGGAATGCATAAACTCACTGGAACATGTAAAAAATGCACCTGGACTGTTTCTATAGTGTGAAGCAACCCTTAGGACCAGTTCACACTACATGCTTTTCAGTGTGCTTTTTGTACATCCAAAATGCACAGAGTAAGTTATGATTGTAAATGTCAGTTTGCATGAGTGATTGCAGTTCCAGTGCATTCTGGATGCAGGAAAAAACAGGCTGCAGTGTTCCTGCACAGAACTGTACTGGAATGCACTGGAACGCTAATGTCCCTATTTAAATTGAGGAAAAAATACACATGCAGGAACACCTTTGGACTGTTTCTATAGTGTGTACCAACACTCAGGTATAGCTCACATTAGATGCAGTCCAGTGCAGATTTTTTTTTTTTTCTGCATCAAAAATGTATGCAGTGTCTTCAATGTATTCCAATGTCCCTAGTTCACACCAGTGCAGCCAGTTTCCAGAGCAGAAAAAAGTAGAACATGCTGCACTTTCTGCACAGAACTATACTGGAACATAGCAGACTGCATCAGAACAGAGTGGTGTGAACTGTAAGTAAACCTTATCCAGAATGCCAGAATCCAGTCTGTGGTGTGAACTGGCCCTTGGGCTATATTTCGACATGTTGATGTCGCTACCATGCAGCTGAAAATTGCTTTTTAGAAGTTTGCCAGGGGGTGAGAAGGCGATATATTGCTTCCTCAAAACTGGCTTAGCCTCATAAATTCAGTGCTGCAGTGTCTGTGTCCATAGCGCATGGTCGTGGCATAGTCCCTTCCATGGTCAGCGGGTAGTACTGACCATGACGGGTAACTTTGTTTTTTGCCACAAAGCATTAGGGCTGCTGCATGTGTACAACTGTCATTGCCCTTGCAATTTAAAGGGGGTGAAGGTTAAAACAGCATATTTGACACCACAGCAGAAACTTTTTTTTTTTTTTTAAACCCCTTGTTGTAGGACATTTTGGTAAACTTGAAACTGAATTACCTTGAAGTGTAGGCTAATAAATTGTGGCTCCCCTAACGATCGGTAGCGCAGGTAGATCGGTAGCGCTTGGTAATCTAGCGCAGGTAGATCGGTAGCGCAGGTAATCGGTAGCGCTTGAAGATCGGTAGGCTAATAAATTAGCGCAGGTCCCCGGTAGCGCAGGTAGATCGGTAGCGCAGGTAGATCGGTAGCGCAGGTAGATCGGGTAGCGCAGGTAGATCGGTAGCGCAGGTAGATCGGTAGCGCAGGTAGATCGGTAGCGCAGGTAAGACTGAGCACCCTATGGAGGAACTCTGAGAGGCAGAGCTAAAGGCTCCACTGAAGCCTTCTGTCAGAGTTGGTAGGGTTTGCCAGGGGTTGGTGGGAGTCCTGTGGTGCAAGCCATGGAATATGCATCTTTCTGTTTTCTGATCCTTTATTCTGTACTTCCTTGGCTATGAATAAGAGCATCTTAAAGAGTTACTTCACCAGGGTTGACAAAGGACGTCTGTAGCTGCAGACTTTAAAAGTACCCGTTTACAGCTCAAGAAGTCTGGTACTGCCTTCTACAACAGTCTTCAGCTGTCTTGTCGCATACTGCCATCTTGGATTTATTTGCTGGCTGCAACTTCCTGATCAGTCAATTGGCCTCCCACTGTGAATGCATGAGATGTGCCAACTGGAGGAGACTGTCCTGAAGCCTGCTGAGATGTGACCTGATCCCAGGAGGCTGCATATTGGCCTAGGGGAAGGCTACCCAAAAACAAATTTCCAAATTTGTGAAGGGGGAGGACCAGGATTATGCAGTCACTAATGAATGCAGCACTGTATCAAATGTTTAAGGTGACCCTGTCAGGAATATAAAAATGGCTGTCTTTCTGGAAGAGAAGCTTGTTTATTATCCCTTTTACTTATGCCACTGAACTATGCTCTGAAGAATTTTCTCAAGTCTAAAACTGAAACTTCAGATGCAGATCTCTAGGTTCTCCACTGAACCTAGGTGGGTCCTTCAGATGATTCCTATATCATTCCTGTATTGATATAGGGTCAGCAGAGGGTTTCACAGAGTGCAAAATAAAACATGAGATCAATACTCCTGGTTTTCTCAGTTTCTGTATACATCTGGAGATTTCTCCAGAGCAGAGTTTGGTGATATGGGGTAGCAAGCAAGGCAAGAATTTAGTTCTCTTTAGGGGAAACTGTTACATCAGTTGCCCTAAAATAATGGAAGATGTGGTGTTTAGATGTAGCTATGAGTTTTCTGGTGAATGCATTTGACCATTTGCACGGTTTCATACTTTGGTTTTTCCTCTTAGGTAATTCAACTTCTGTATGCACCATGCCTGGCGATTTCTCCATGTGTCTGTGTCTCGGTCCTCTTCCTCCACCACAGTTGCGTCGTCCATCTACAGGAACACTTCGACCATGCTTGGTTCCATTTCCTCGTCCTCCTGACCCTCGTAAAAAGGGTGTAGTCTTTGCCGATGCCCTTGGACTAGCTCTTACCACTGTTTGCCATTTCTCGCGCCCATTCTTTGATGAAGATCCCCTGGTACTTGCATTGGCTTCCTTGCGAGCCTTGCGTCCCTTCTCCACATCAACATACACACTGGACTTCCAGCCTCCTGCTCATGACTACACTAGCTTCCGAGCTAAGCTTAACAAGCGGCAGGTATGCCTGGAGCAATGTGCAGTTCAGGGGGCAGCGGTGGCAGGAACTATAAAAGTTCGTAACCTTGGTTATGAGAAAAGGGTGACGCTTAGAGTGAGCTACGACGACTGGCAAAGCTATTATGACCTTCCATGCACTTATCTCCGTGATCCGTATGGTGGAGGCGAGATTGATATGTTTTCTTTCAGGCTTCCACTGGCACCAGATACCCAGCAAGCAGAGTTCTGTATCTGTTTTTGGTGCCAGGGCAAGGAATACTGGGACAACAATGAAGGCAAAAACTATGCACTGCACAAGGAGACCGAACACAGCAAATACCTTCAAAGAGTGTATTGGTGAAATGGGCCAGATTGGTGTTGAACTATGAAAGTGCTGGTCCACTGAACAAGAGTACTGCATTGTACACTTTCCCTTTTGTGGATCAAGAGGGGAAACTCCATTCTTTCAGCTGTAAGGGTAGACTAGATGGAATACGTATTTACTGATATGGTTGTCGGGCAATATTGTGGTTGTCATAGGCTTCTGCTTGTACTCTTAAAACTCAGTCACTTGACAAGCAAGTTAACTGAATGGGAGCCTACTCCCCAAACAGAATACTGAGGGGGTTTATTTAAATGTGTTCAAGATTCTCACAACCTTCACCAAGGATTCACAAATGTTTCCAGTTTGGAAATACATGAATCTTGTGACTGTTTTTTTTTTTTTTTTTTTTTTATAAACCTCTTAAATTGTATTGTATAAGCTGTTCATAAGCCTATGTATTGTGTGGACCTGTTGCTGGTTTGCAGTGACTGTAGATATTTGTGGCTTGGTCAGTATTAAAGCCACACAATGCCTCATTTCTCTACAAGTAATGGGTTTGTATTAATTCAGTCAGACTTTTTTTCAAATCAAATTGGGTGTAAGAAAACACATGGTTGTCTAACTTGGTCAGTAACACAATACTCACACTTGTGCTAAAGCTCACTGGCTTCACCATTCCCTAGTGATGTATATCTGGAATCTTCACTTGATAAATTGTAAGTGATAATCTTTGCTTCTGTATTAATCTACCTTTTTGGGTTGGGATTGCATATTAGCACAGTCTGTTTTTTTTATATCTGGTTTTATGGCATTCAATAAATATTCTCAAACTTTGCACTTTTTGGTCTTTGTGGTTTGTTTTTGTTTTGTGTTTTTTAAGATGTAACATGTTCTAGCATCTCCATACTTTATTCTTTCTGTGGCTCCTGCCCACACAGCTGCATCATTCATATAGTTTCCTGTGAATAACTATAAGTTAACCTCAGCTGACAACTTGTAGTTCTCAATGAACTACAAGGGTGATTCTTCCTGCTCTCAGGTAACTGCCTGTCGGTATGTGGTTTGGGCTATCCTGAGAGTCTGCATGAGATTGCAACTGCCATCTGCTGATTGCATGTGCAGTGCTCTTTGCACTCTAACCAAGAAATGCACTTTTTTTTTTTTTTCTTTAATTTTAAAGGTAAACTTGTTCTAGATCCAATCTACCCGCTTTGGCTGCCTTGAAAAGAGCATGGACATGAGCAACCGTGTTGGTGTTCTTGGTAGGTGTGGTAAGCCATACAAATTAATCCCTGGTGAAAGTCTGCAGGATAAAACTTTAGGAGGGACTGCAGGAATGTAATGTTCCCTGATCTTGAAGAAAGATGTGACTAGACTGAAACCTTTAAATCCATGAAGGGAGCAAGATTCAGAAGGGTAGCATTTCATTATGAAGCCAAGAACATGGGACGTGGCCTAAAACTAATCTTAAAAGTCTTTTATTGAATGAGTACTGGTAGTTGATGCTTAAAATAGATTTCTAGCAGAGGTAGTCAGATTCAAGCATGCTCGGGACAAATGGATATGTACTCAGACATGTTTTAAAAGGGGGGAAAAAAAATTTTTAGAAAGGCCACTTTGTGGGTCCCCCCCCCCCCCGCCCTATCTTCTGTTTCCCATGAGAAAAATGAGGCTTACAACTTGTCTACAATAATGGATAAACACCTGATCTTTTTAAAGTGTCCTAATACCTGATGGCTGAAGACAAAAGGGCTTCTTATTACACGATGGTAAGGACAACTTCAATCCATGCAATCACAAACATCTGTGACCTCAGTTATGATTGTGGGGAGCTATTTGTCTTCTGTATCTAGGAATCATCATAAATGCCAAAGGAAAGAGAAAAATCCTCCCCTTTTCAGTACTGGATGTCAAGTCCCGGGTGTTCGTCAGCAGGTCCTAAAACGTGCTAGTCTATGTCTGGACTTGGATAATTGTCTTGGAAAGGGCATGGATTTGAAGGGAAATTGCTAGTTTATGCTCACTAGAGTCTGGCTAAAGGCAGGCCATAGATAGGCTGTTTATTGGCTAATAAATGAAAAATTGGTTGGCCCCGTTGCTGATGCTGCCACCCATGTCCACGAAAAACGTCCCTTTTTAGTGGCTTTTCCAGCATGACCGATAAAAATAAATGAGGAGATCCGTGAAAAATGGCCAACGGGCTGGCCCCATTAACAGCGTGATTATCGGATGATTTTTTTTATGTGGATGTAAATTCAGTAAATAAATGACCCGGCTATGGCCTGCAAAAAAGTGATAGTGTGTTAATGGTCTATCTGCCTGTTAAGACCATCATCTGACCTAGCTTACTAACCAAACAAAATGAGATCTCGGTAAACCACTTGAGTTTCTATAAGTTTAGACATGATGTAATGGTTGGAAAGTCATACACTATCACCATCTCTGGTACTAGTCTTATCTTAAAGTGAATGCAAACAACCTAATCTGTGGCAATTTTTTTAGGACCCCCCAGGATGTTCTCTGCTGGCTGATATCCTCCTTCCATCACCACATATATCATCATAGCAGGTAGAAGGCACGGCATGTCAAGCCAGAGGGTGGGAGCTACCCAGTTCTGGTTCAAGCTATGTGATGACTCAAGCCCAGGGGAGGTATCCATGACCGCATGACCTCAGAGGAAGTATTTTAACCACTTTCCGCCTCCCTATAGCAGAAATACTGCTACAGGGTGGCAGGGGTGCGTGTATATATACACTTGATATTGCATTTCCGGGTAGGGGGTGTGCGCCATTCATGGCCTCCACTATCAGTCACCAGGTTGCAACTGGTGACTACTTGCTGGCACCTGGTGAGCGCCGAGTATTACCGATGGGGGAGAGAACTGTATTAAACAATACAATACAGTTTTCTCCCCTGTCAGCTCCTGCACACTGCATTGTATGGCTCAGGGGCAGCAGAGTAGGATGAGGAAGTTAGCAACTGTGTAGGTAAAAAAAATCTAAATGAGTTTGTACAATCAGATTGTGTAGTAAGCTTAAATTTTGAATGGCCAATTTTTCAAAATTGTGACGTGTTGACAAATTGTAATCCACTGAGTTAAATACAGTAGGACGGACTACATCTCACATGGTTGTTATTAACATGAATTGAATTGCTCAGTAAACAGACATGAGATAGGAGTATCCTAATTTGGCCAACAATGATAAGCCTGTCTGTAGATGGCGTCAATTCTAAAGATCGACTGTCGAGTGGGAATGGCCGCACATGGATGGAAACTGGGCTGGCCCCTGCTGAACTGGATGAATTTGGATCCATTTACAGTGTCTTGAAAAAGTATTCATACACCTTGAAATTTTCACGTTTTTGTCATGTTACAATGTAAATGTATTTTATTGAGATTTTATCTGATAGACCAACACAAGGTGGCACAGAATTGTGAAGTGGAAGGAAAATGATAAATGGTTTTCAAACTTTTTTTACAAGTTCTCTGAAAAGTGTGGCATTCATTTGTATTCAGTCCCCTTTACTCTAATACCCCTAACTAAAATCTAGTGGAACCAATTACCTTCAGAAATCACCTAATTAGTAAATAGAATCCACTTGTGAGTAATTTAATCTCTGTATAAATACAGCTGTTCTGTGAAGCCCTCAGAGGTTTGTTAGGCTGGCCATACACTATGCAATTTTCTGCCCAATTTCCTTTAGATTTTCCTTCAACTATGTAGTGCAGGGGCCTGCCTAATTGGATACAATTGAAAGCGTTGTTAGGTTTGACCTGCTATTATATGGTTTTTGGTAACTAAACCAAAAATCTCAAGAAAATTATATAATGTATGGCCAGCCTCAGAGAACATTAGTGAACAAACAGCATCATGAAGGCCATGAAACACACCAGACAGGTCAGGGATAAAGTTGTGGAGAAGTTTAAAGCTTAAAGTGTTAGGTTATGAAAAAATATGTCAAGCTTTCAACTCATGGAGCACTGTTCAATCCATTATCTGAAAATGGAAAGAGTATGGCACAACTGCAAACCTACCAAGACATGGCTGTCCACCTAAACTGCAGGCCAGGCAAGGAAAGCATTAATCAGAGAAGCAGCCAAGAGGCCCATGGTAACTCTGGGGGGAGCTGCAGAGATCCACAGCTCAGTTGGGAGAATCTGTCCACAGGATAACTATTAGTCGTGCACTCCACAAATCTGGCCTTTATGGAAGAGTGGCAAGAAGAAAGCCATTGTTGAAAGAAAGCCATAAGTCCTGTTTGCAGTTTGCGAGAAGCCATGTGGGGGATAAGAAAACATGAGGAAGAAGGTGCTCTGGTCAGATATGAGACCAAAATTGAACTTTTTGGCCTAAAAGTAAAACGCTATGTATGGCAGAAAACTAACACGTCTCTCCGTGAGCTTTACCCGACGATTGCCAACCAAGAATCGCCAGCAGGGACCCGATGATTGACATCCCTAGCAGCCAATAGTAGGGCAGTGCACACACGTGCCCCCTACCTGGAAATGCAAATCACGTACATATAGGTGATTTTGTGCAGCTCTGCCGCCCTGTAGCAGTACTTACTTCTGTTATAGGGTAGACGGAAAGTGGTTAAGGCACACAAATGCTACAAATTACCCATTTTGTGGTAAAATACAAAAGTCTAGGTCATACCCAGTAAACAGATACCCAACATGTCAAACCTTAAGTGGTAATAAAGTTCTTTTTTAAAGTTGTACATACAGGTAAGCCTATAATAAGGCCTACCTGTAGATACTGTGAATATCTCCTAAACTTTCACCGTTTAGGAGATATTTACACTACATGCAGCCAGTGACGTCACTGGCATATGTAATCTGAAGGTCCAGCATACCGTGCCAAAACCTTCGGAGCTCCATATCGCAGCTGAGGGCTCCCATGTGCATGTGCAGGAGTGACATAATCGTGTGGCTCTGGCTGTAGCTGGAGGCTGCGAACCCACAAAGAAGACCAGGAAGAAGATGGAAGCACCTA